AGAGAGAGAGAGAGATTTGATTACTTTAAGTCTAAATGCAATTCTGTAAAATTAAACTTAGAGCCTATGTTTAAGACAACAATTTTCTAGGTTTGCCCATAAACGTAACTACCGCTATGTCTTTGGCATGTCCATTGAGTCCTCCAAGTGGGTCCTTACAATAACTGCATAAATGAGCTTTCTAGGTTGTCAAATTCATAATTGTGCCACTTATTCAAGTTTTAGGTCAAGCTGGCACAATCTAAGAACATTACTACTGTCCAAATTTGAGCGTAAATGGGGCTATGAACCACTTTTAAACCTTTATTCAAGGCACTAATGAATAACATTCTACCTTTTATGTCATACTACTTGCAATAGTGACGGGCCAAGCTAGGACATCTATCACTCCTAAATGAGTGGATGAAAATATTTTTGCCACTTATAATTCTGTGTGCGCAAACGGGGCCTTGAAGCCCCTCAAGGGCTTCAACCATATGTGATGGAGTTCGACTTGGTATAGATTGCTCCATGTGCATGAGAGTGACAAAATGGTGATTTGCAGTGTTTTAAAACTCGGGTGATGTGAATGGGGAATCACTGATCTAGATTGCATTCGGTGGGTAGGTGGGTGATCTACAAAAACACGCCCCCCACCACCGCCCCCTATTCTTTTATTATTATTTTTTTACTTTGTTTTCACAGGTTCAATTGATGTGATAGTCGATCTGGCCAATCCGGGTTGGTACGGTGGGTGAGATATTTAAAATACAATTCCAAATTTCAAAACTGAAAGCCATACAAATAAGATCAGTTTAGCTCGGACAGCTTGTAAATCACTGAGCTGTCCTAGTTAAACTGGTCTTATCATTCATTGAATTTTGAAGAATGAAGTATGCTTTTCATCACGTGAAAGAAGTATAGCCATTTGATGTGAGAGATTGAGCCAGCAGTGTGTTAGATTCCCAAAAGATTGTAGCAAGAGAAAGTGTGGCTGTGAAAGAAAAGCTTGAGTGGATCATAATTGCAAATACTTGAGAAAATGTCAGGTTATAACTTATAACCATAAGTCATGGGATTCTCATTTAGCTGTAATTGTCAAACATAGATCTCATAACTTCCACTTTTACATCAAAGAATTCTTTCGCACATCAGAGTAGTGTAACAACTGAAGAAACTGATACTCTCTCACATCAGAGGAGTGTAACAACTGAAGAAACTGATAATAGTATTATTGGTGCTTATAGTAGGCTTAATGTTGGCCTGGTGCCTAGTACTATAGATAAACCCCACTACCTTTTTTGAGATAATCATATCAAGGGCCTCTGTTTAATTCAACATCTTCTAGACCCCTAGTCACAAAATATCAAATGTAACTCTAAAAATGGTTTTTCTGATGATAGAGAAATTGGGTTCAAATCAATTGTTTGTTTTAGTGAGATGTTAGACCTAAAGTTAGGGGCCTGTCGAGGATGTCAATTAACTTTATTTGGAATAGGCTTCTCTACCATTAATATATAATAGATAAATTTTTTTTTTTTTTTCAATTGTTTGGTAGAATTGTATCATATGTTCAATGAAAGAATACAAAGAGACCGTTTACTTTTGGTACAAAAATGTTACAATCACTGGTGCTTATCGGATTTCAAATCGGGTGGTTGTAAAAGTATCATTGACTAGACTCAAAGTTCAAAGGAAAAGTTCTGAACCTCGTAAACAACCCGAACCATCAAATTTGACATCTAACAGCTACGAATAAGCGTAAGCTCCTTATAATAAAGATGAACGGTCTCATAGTATACAATCTTATTATTTAATTATTTAACTTTTGGGAGATTTTAAATATTTTTAGTTGATTCTGGCCAAAAAAAAAAAAGAAGTGAATTTCGGCAAATTACATTGAATAAAGTAAAAAAGATATTAAAAAAGATAAATTCGCATGTAAAAGTGTTAATAAATTTATCTCATATAGCCTTATGATGGATCCTATCAAACAACAAATAATTTATTATCAGAAATAATTTTATTGAAACAATGATATTATCAGTGACAATGAGTACATCCAAATTGGCTCTGGATGTGGTTTATTTTATATTCTTGAAGTGGTGCATCTAGTGTTTTTAATACCATTCTGAAATTTGAAGTCAAACAAATCCCTTTTGGGGGGGAAAAAATGGGTGTACTTAATGGAGTAGGTCATGAACTCCCTGTAACACATATACTTGATAGATAGCACCAATGATTTTTATATTTTTATCTTTTTTTTTTTTTTACCAGCCTGTTTATTTCTCCATAATTTGAAATTTTGAGCTGAAATTTCAAAGTCTTAAATCATCATAATTTACTTGATGGTAAATGGTGTCCCCTTCGTAGTGTTATATGGTCCAAACCCTACAAGGTTGGTCCCCTTCATAGTTGTTTATGGTCCAAACCCTACAATTTTTTCAGCCTTGTGGGACCATATGAGTTCTAGTAAAACCTAATTAGTGTGGTCTTGCTCAAGAACTTGGCATGTTTAGAAATACTCAGTGAACTCTTATTTGGATATTCTAATCTTGAGAAGATTTGGTGTCTCTATCATTGAAAATATGAAAACCAAGACATAATATCTCAGTGTACCCATAAAATCTTGCTCTAATTGACAACTCATTTTATCTACTTCACCTAAATTCCTATGTAAGCAATTGAAGTAATCACTTGAGGCAAGATATTGACAAGTATCATATAATCCACCTAAGGATTATAATTTTTTGTTATTTTTATGTTGAAAATGATTTTGCTCTTAAAAATAGAAATAAATGAATTAGGAAATATAAGTCAACATATAACTTTATACAAAAAGTATGAGAGAGAATATAAGTTTATTGAAACTCAAATAGCAAACAATAAAAGAAAAAGGTTATATAAGGGGTCAACCTTATACCTTAGAGATAAGGTGCACCTAAAAAACCCATAAAAACATGTTATTTCATCACTAGAAAATTCGCCAATTGATTGTCTTGACCTCGATATATATGGACATGAAAGAAAAAATGAATTTCAACTCCTAAAAATAGTACATCTTGCAACACATTATCTAGACTATCCACTTTTAAGATTTTTGAGTGCTCATACATCTACTAGATTTGCACCATTTTTGGAGCTTTCAATTTCATTATAGGGGTGAAAAATAGACTTTTAGTCCATGATAAGGGTTTTGACACCGAAAATACATATTTTAATGAAATTTTGAGGTGCACCCTATCGTAATTGTTTAAGGTTGACGCCTTATACAAACCTCACCCAGTAATAAAATGACATCCTTTTTTTTTTTTTTAATGATTTTTTCATTAATATTCATACTCAACAATTTCCCCAAAAAGACCAAATAAAATTTCCTAAAAAATGCTATCACTAGAAATCCATGTGGTATATTTCTCACGCCCAAAAATGTTTATCATTGAAAGTTTGAAATCTCATGCCCTAAAATGTTTATAATTCAAAGTTTAAAATTAGTTTCTTTTCAAGTTC